AATTGCCGTGCTGACTGCTGAACCCTGCTTACTAATTAAGACATAATTTCAAGGCAATTTTCCTCTTTCCAGCTAAGAAAAAAAACTAGTAGTGAAAGTATTAAAGAACTGTTGGCACTGGAAATATTTCATTTCCATCATCTTCTCATTTGATCAAAAAGGTCTAGAGAAGCGAGGCCCATTCGTGGCCACCCAGGTCCTGGTGCCGTAACTGCCGAGTGATTTTTGACATTTAGGATAAGTCGCTCCGTGTTTCCCAGAGTGGGCTATCTGGGAAGACTGTACCTCCGTCATTTCTCAGCATCTTTGATTCAGGCCAATGTAAGATCAGAAAGTTCCTAATAGTGTAAAACACAAGTGAACACTGGAGATCTGGCAAGTCAGGGTCACAAGACAAACTTGAGAAAGCAAACTTCAACTGAAAATAGTCGTATTTTGCAGCAATTGGGCAGTGAGCAAGATGGAGGGAAGGGAGTAGGAGCTGGATGGAACTGGATTTAGACCCTGCCTCCAACATGGCTAGCTCTGTTATCCTTGGATGTTACATTATCTGGAGAGTGACGAGCACGTCTGACGGGCAGCAACAGAAGGGTTTGATTTACAGCTAAGTGAGGGGCCTCCACACTGTGATCTCGGTCTCATGAAACGTCGCCAGTGACAACATTAATACCACTGTTCTTAGTTGGAGAGATCGAACCTAAGAGAGATCAATGATCTAGCCGAGGCCACACACTTAACAAGATAGACTTGGGACCTGGAAGGCGCTCTGACTGGCATCAAGCCCACAGCCTTAGTCACTGTAGCATCTCAAGGTTGGTAAGAACAAATGTCAAAAGCTCAGCACGCTGCCTGACACTGAGTAAATACCAAGTGCAGCACAGTCAGGAAGCTGGCCCTGCCCTGCCCAACCAAGATGAAGAAGGAGGGTGTGGCTCAGATGCACACAGAGGTGGAAAGCTGGCGGGGGGTGGGGGGGAAGCCAACACAAGTGGTCAGTGAAACCCTGCCTTGGCCGGCAGCACCCGAGGGTCCACCCAACCCTCAGGCTTAAGAGGGAAGTGGGACTCCCTGAGCACTTCTCGTCTTTGTCCATCTCCCATCCTGTTGTCTCCCCGAACCTCTTTCTTTCCACATCATCACTGTGTCTCATGCCGCATATGACCATATATCAGATATTTCAAGTCAGTGTTCTGGCTCTAAACTCTTCTCTGCAGGTAAACAAAAGTGTCTCTTCCTGGCACCAAGTGTGGTGGCGCATGCCTTAAAGCCCAGCACTCAGGACTAGGGCTCTGGGTCTCCTGAATGCTAGAGTTTATGGCTGTCCCCCCCCCCCCCAAATAAACTGCACACTGACCCTCAAATTACTTACACGGGCACGTGATGTTAGACACATTCTGCAATCCAAATGATCAAAATGCTATCAACTTTCTCTCTGCCAAGTTCCTACCCCTCTCTAGGTCTCACAGCCAGAGTATGCAAGACCAGATGAAATGCCCAGAGCTTTGGCTGGGGGCCTGCTGTACCAGGCTTGGCAAAGGGAGCCCCCAACAACTAGCACCCAGCCGCCATTCTTTAGAAACAGGAGTGGGGATAGGAGTGGTGTATTCGGTGGGTGTTAACATGCAGAACTCAGCCACCTAGTCAAATTTGGGTATCCCTAGTTGGGGATAAGGAATGGAGAGTGGGAATCCCCAAGCTTCTCTGCATTCCCAGAAGCTTTTGGTAAAACCTTCAGACTGCTTGCTTGGTCAGCAACATACATCTCTGCGGCGATTCACCGCCATAGTTCCAGCATGTTTTTTTGTATAGATATGGCCTCCAAGAGCCACTGGATGCTCTCTGGAGGCATATTTCATCGAGAACACAGAGGGCTAAATTGGAGAACATGATCTCATGTTTAAATGAAAGACTGAAGCTTCCTTTAAAAGAAATGCTGCCAGGTGTGGTGGACCATGCCTTTAATCCCTCTGCACTTGGGAGACAGAGGCAGGCGGATCTTTGTGAGTTCAAGGCCAGCCTGGTCTACATAGTGAGTTCCAGGTTCCAGGACAGCTGGGGCTACAGGGAGACCCTGTCTCAAAAAGACAAGACAAAAAAGAAGGAGGAGGAAGAGGAGGAGGAGGAGGAGGAAGAGGAGGAGGAGGAGGAGGAGGAAATGCTATGTCCAGCATTTAGCATGGGACTAGCATAAAGGTCAGTCATTTTGGTGAGGGCAGGGATGGTAAGATGGCATTAAAGAATTTGTGTGTATGTGGACGTATATATATGTATGTATGTGCATGTTTTGTGCAAATGTTTGGGTACACAGGCATACATATGTATGCATGCGTGTGTGTAGGCCAGAGGTTGATCTAAGATTCCTATCTATCCTATATTACCCTCTGCCTTGTTTCTTTGATAGAGTCTCTCATTGAACCCAGAGCTCATTGGTTGGCTAGACTGGCTGGCCCTCAAATTCTGAGCATCCACCTGTCTCCACTCCCCAGCCCCCTTCAGCACTGGGCTTCCAGGCAAGGACCGCCACACCCAGCTTTTGTGTGGATGCAGGAGATCCAAACTCAGGTCCTCAAGCTGTGTGACAGGCACTTTATTGATCCATCTCCCTAGCCCATGAGGCATACCCTTAAGGTGTTCCTTTATGATCATTAAGTTGTTACTATGGAAACCAGAGAGGAGCCCCCTCCCTCCAGTTCTGAATCATGGACAAGCCCACTCTGACTCTTATCAAAGTTGATCATAGTACAGCTGTTTTCTCCACCCACATGAGGTGCTTACAGACCCCTTCTAGCCTGTACACAGCAGCAGGAATTCAATACACCTTTGCATAGGGAACGTTTATAGGGAAAACATGAATGCCTCTGGAGCCCCAGGGTCACATGGTGGGAAGCAGCTGCTGTCAGACAACCTTACTGTCCTATCCAGACTTCCAGAATAGAACCAAATGCAGCAAGAGCCTGTCTTCCGGAAGCAGCGATGCACAGGAAGTAAACTCGGGCATGCTGGCTGTGCTAGAGCAGGGGCTTGGGAGGGGAAGATCGTGATGTGACATGGTTTTTGGAACTTCCCCACCGTCACTGAGCCTAGCTGCAGCCTCGGTGTCTTGAGTTGCAATACATCTAGCCTCTGCACTGCGCAACACACACCATTCTAAAACAGAAGACATTAAAAGCAGGATGAGCTCAAGATCGCCTCGTCTTCAGACTTACGTTTCCTACCAAGGACCACAGTTTGGAGGCTCTGCATTTGATTTTGAAATGCAGGATGATTCGGAAGATTAAACGAATTGAATGACAAAGAAATATTGGCAACTGGTTACTGCTGGGTGGGGGAAAGTAGATCTTTTTTAAGGGAGTGTCTCTAGATGCACCAAGGGACATCTTTGAGGGACATCTGTGTAAAAATGCTTGAGCAGATAGGACCTAATATACATGACAGAATGCAGGAAACCCAGTGTGTGGGGGGAGATATAGGGGCATAAATAAGAGGAGGGAGTCTAAATTTTATTAGGATCAATTACATGATTTGGTGCTAGAGAGATGGCTCATCGATTAAGAGCACTGGCTGCTCTTCCAGAGAACCCAGATTCGATTCCCAGCACCCACATGGTGGCTAACAACTGTCAGTAACCCCAGTTCCAGGGGATCCGACACCCTCTTCTGACCTCCATGGGCATCGCATGACACAGGTACATGTACAAACATGCAGGTTAATACACTCATATACGTAAGAAATAATAAAAAATATTTTTAAAAAAGATCTATTATGGGGGATGGCTCAGTGGTTAAGAACACTGGTTGTTCTTGCAGAAGACCCGGGTTCGAATCCCAGCACCCACATGACAGCTAACACTGTCTGTAACTCCAGTTCTAGGGGATCTGACAGCCTCTTCTATCCTCTGTGGAAACTGCACGACATGGGTGCACTTACCTACATGCAGGCAATACACACATACACATAAAATAAAAATAATAAAATTAAAATTTTTTAAAAATCTAAAAAAAATCTATTATATGAAATGCACAAAACTCACTACAAATATTAAAAATAATTGAATGAGAGATTTTATAGGCAATATTAAAATAGCTGTCACTGTACATGGCCACTTAAATACACTATTAGTAAACATACAACCCTGCAAGATAAATTACAATTCTTGTTTCATGAATGAGGAAGCTGAGGCTCGGAGTGGCTGGGACCTTGTTTATAGTCGTACTTCTGCCCCTCCCAGGCCCCCACTTGAGTTTTTCCAATTCTCCACAATGCCTCTTTTATGTTTCTAGCTGGAAGCAAGGTACACATATTCAGGAATGGAACTCATGTCACCAAAGCAGACAGCTACACCTGGCTATGGTGGCAAAGGACTGGAGAGTCAGGTATCTGCTCTGCTCATGAGGGCCTGGAAGGCATCTGCATCCCTGGATTCCACGACCCTCCCTTGCCAGACAGAAAACACAGTGACCTACTTTGTAACCCTCTCAGAAGCAGCCATTAGGAAGAGGCCTGAGAGCCAAAGCCTTTGGCTATGAAACAAGTAAGACACAGGCCTGTACGAGACTCTGGCTTCTCTTAACCCAAACCCAGAACATGGGAAAACAGCAGGAGCCCATGTCTCCTACCCAGCTCCACCTCCCTGCCTCCCCACTCCCCTAACACATGGATTTCCATAAGAGAATTCCCTTTGAAATCACTGGGATTCTATTTGGAGAAGAAACAGAGGGAGCTGGGAGCCGCAGGCCACAGCCACGGGGCTTGGTCAAGCCATTTACAACAGTGTATCAATCCTTTGCTTCTTTTCCCTTTATTTAGCCAAACCTGAAATGAGAGGTGAATTTGGATTCATTAATCTCTCTTATCATTAGCCTCATAAAACATGGAGAGATGTTGGAATGTAGGCAAAGGAAACAGGCTCTGTGAATCTCAGCAAGTTTTACCCTCCTGTAGTCTCACATTAACCTCTCCTCCTACATCAACACTGCTTAAAATAAAAACCCAACACTTACTGTTCAGGGGTTCAGTAAACCAAGTCCAAAGTCAAGAGAATGATCGCGCTTTCCCATGAAAACACCATATGCCCTTGGTGGATGCAGCTTGCTGGGCTGTTATTAATAACTGGCTTAGAGCTTTAGACAGAAACATGAGCCAGAATGCCATGGGAGGAGGGGAGTGAAGGAATTGACAGACACAGGTGGGATGAATTTAACAAAATATATTTACACCAGGGCTCAAGTAAATGATGAGGAGGGATTGCTTCCTTCAAGATCAGTAGGTCCCATGAACTGCTCTAAGAGTTTAACACCCACTCCAAAATCTCCTTCACAGTGAAAATGCCATGGTGTGCTTAATGTTGAACAGCCTCTGCTTTCCGGACTGTCCTTTTCCGTGGATACTGAGTTTTATTGTACTTACTTATAAATGTGTACGTGTATTGTGTGAGTGTGCCATGAGTGTGGCAGTGGACACTGAGGCCAGAAGAAGGTGTCAGATCCCCTGGAATTAGCATCACAGGCAGCTGTGAGCTGCCCAGTGTGGGTGCTGGGAACCGAACTCGTGTCTCTGGAAGAATAGTAAGCACTCTAATCGCTGAGTAACCTAGCTTACACCGACTCCTCTGTTTTCAAAGTATACCATAAAGTAGATTTTAAAATGTCTATTACTGGGGATGGAGAGATGGCTAACCTGTCTCTGACCCTCTAGCACTGAGAATACAAGTATCTGCTGCCACACCCAGCTTTTTCACAGGGGTTGTGGGGGTCAAACTCCTGCCCGCCTGTCCTGGCTTGCACAGCAAGTGCTTCTACTGAGCCATCTCCCCAGCCCTACCTATTTGTTTACTCTTCCTTCAGGAACACTGAAGAACTCCTATAAATATATTGTAGGTGTGGGGTGGTGGGAAGAGTGGATTTTGTGATGATACCATAACCCAAAGGAAAAAGAACTGATGAGGTGGGGCATAGGAAACAAACAGGACCTGGTCTCTGGTTTTAGGAATGATCTTCTTTTGAAAATCTGAATTTCAAAACTTTCCCCACGGTTTCTTTGCACTCACCTACCACTCCGGCTCTTTTGGTCTTTCAACACCATCTTCCACAATGATCCCTGAGCCTTGGGGAGCTCGTCTGGGGAAGGTGGGCAGGAAGACCCGACCCTAGCTGAGATCTACTGCAACTGACGACTGTTGGGAGAGGGAGAGTCATTTTTTTTAAGGGTGTGCACCTGGGGGTTGACCAGACTCCAGGGGATGAACCCACAACCAAGAGTACTTGGGGAATAAATTAGATTCATTGGACCTTTACAGAAAGAAAAATAATAATAAAGACATGAAGTGGTGGGCGCAGCAGGGTGGGACAGACATGGGGAGGGGATGTGGTGGGTATAGCAGGATAGGGGAGACATGGGGGAGGGGACGTGGTGGGCACAGCAAGGTGGGATAGACAAGGGGGTGGGGCCTGAATATGATCAAAACACAGCATATGAAATTCTCAAAGAACCAATAAAAATATTTTTTAAAATTCCACATGGTTCCCCAAATCCCCTCCCCAATGAGACATCAAACTGTTCAGATCATATAGGTCACTTTAAACACTGGTGTTGCTTTAAGTGTTAAAGGAAAACTGGCAATTTGTCAAAAGTTACTGACATATAAAGGTGCTTCTCCATCTTTGGAGAACTTCTTGCTAAATTGCCTCATTCTTTTTTTATTTATTATTTTTTTATTTTATGTGCATAGGTGTAAACTCTATACATACGTGTGCACCCAGAGGTCAGAAGAGGGCGCTGGATCCCCTAGAACTGGAGTTAGGGTAGTTGTTAGGGGCCATGTGGGTGCTGGGAACCAAATCCAGGTCCTCTGCAAGAGCAGCTAGTGCTTGTAACTGCTGAGCATCTCTCCAGCCTCTAAGGTTTTTTCTCACCCTAAGCCCTGTGCTGGTCAATCTTCCATTGTCAGCCTGACTACATTTGGAATCACCTGGGAGATACACTTCTGGGCATCTGTGAAAGTTTCTGATGTTTAACTGCAGAGAGAAGACAGATCTTTAATGTGAGGTCACGCCACGGGTGGGGGTCCTGGACTGAATGAAAGGAGAAAGCAAGCTGAGCACCAGCACATCTCCCTCTGCTTCCTCACTGGGATGCAACGAGACCCGCAGCCTCAAGTTCCTGCACCAAAAACCCCTTCCTTCCCCAAGGTGCTTTGCCTCCTGTTCCAAAGCTAACCACAGCAGGCCATCGCTCTGCATGGTCTCTAGCTATCTCAGCAAACTGACACGGTTTGCCTCTAGTATCCACTTCTGTTGCCAGAGACAGAGTTCCAGCCTTCATTTCTTAAATTTCCAAAAAGGCTGTGCTTAAAACTGCCCAAATTTGCCGGGCATGGTGGTGCGTGCCTTTAATCCCAGCACTTGGGAGGCAGAGGCAGGAGGATCTTTGTGAGTTCAAGGCCAGCCTGGTCTACATAGTGAGTTCCAGGACAGCTGGGGCTACAGGGAGACTAAAAAAAAAAAAAAAAAAAAAAAAAAAAAAAGCCCAAATTTCAGAAATGCAAAAACACTGTGTTCAATTATGGATTAAATCTATTTTCAAGCATTTCCCTCAATATTAAAGAATTGAGCCTGATAAAGGAGTGTCAAATAAGTCAGAGAGCCTTGTAAGAAAACCAAGCAAATCCTTAATAAAACTGAAGACCCAGCACACTCCCTCCTGGGGCCACTGTCCTCCCGGCTCTGGCTCCTCCAGCTCCAGACAGCAATGTCAGAGCAGGAGGCCTCGCTCACATCCTCCTTGGCAGAGTGCTCAGGACCCCATGTGCGGAAACCTTTCTTTATTCCAGGACGAAGACTGGCAGCATGAACACAAACAACTGCCCTTCACAATAATATTTACCAGGAAACTAGGCTCCTGTCTTTCATTAGCCCGGTATGTTTTTTTAGAGATGAGTCTGTCTGTGGGATGTTGGGTACAGAGGGGAGGAAGTGATGAATGACTCTGATGAGAAGCTGAGGTAGAGTGCTGTCCTGTACCCATTACAATGTCTGTGCACCTTGTAGGAACCTTGCGTGGCTGATGCAAATGTGGACCTTGGAGATGGAGAGTTCTGCTTAGTTCCTGAAGCCAGAACTTGGTAGGAATAAAGTAAGTAAACCGTAGAAGCTAAAGCATTCCATGGACGATACAAAACTCAGAAAAAACATGTTTTGTTTTGTTTTTTTCTTTTCTTTCTGTGAGGTAGGATCTTATGATGTAGCCCAGGCTGGCCTTGAACTCTCCATCCTCCTGCTCAGCCTGCCAAGGGCTATGGTTACAGATATGTAACCACAACCACCTAAAAGTAGGATGTGTAACCATACCCACTATACCCATCCTAAAACTAGGAAAAATGTGCGTGTGTGCGTGCGCAAGGATGCCAGGGTTTTACAAGGTAGCCACGCTGACCTTGAACTCAAGACCCTCCTGCCTCCATGTACTGGTTATTTTTCTCTCTACTATAACAAAATCCTGACCAAAACAGAGTGAAAAACACACAATTCTTTCCTCAAGTTAAGAGTCCATACAGTCCATTAACTGCTAAAAGAAAGGAGCCAGGAGCTCCTCCTGAGCCCACGTGACCCCTGAGGAACAGATCCTCCAATGACCTTAAGTGTAAAAATAAATTGATTTATTTGGGCCAACTGTATGGTCTTAAACACTCAAAAGGAAAGTATAACCAAAGAGTAACATCTTCAGTATATTTCTTTAAGAGAAAGGGATTACACTTCCCAGACGTTAGGCTTAAGTCTATATAAAAAGTTATTTAGACAATTATTTCTCATTGATGATTTTGTTTCTAAGCAGCAAGTGCTACTCAGATGTAAGACTTAATTTCTGGGTTCCCAATCTTGTAGTGCCCGCCTGTAGCTAAGGGAGACAACCAGCTATTGTTCTAAAATGATGGATAAATTTGTTTTCTCCCTCATCTAGAAGCCTTTGAGAGGGAACTGACACTGATTCTAACCACTCCAACAGCTATCAAAATACCTGAAAGCAAATCCTGAATCCATCACTCTAGAGTCCAGCCTTGGAAGACAAAAGAAAAATGAGGAGGAACCCAATAGAGGGGTGCTTTTGGAAGCCCTTGTCAAGAAATTCCAATGGACTCTCTTATGAACATTTGAAAATTGCCCTGTTCTGACTTTTTTCTAGTTCCCTGGCTAGAACTCGTAATGCTAATTACTCTTGCCTTTACTTCTCCTGTACCTGGCCTACTCACCAGTCAATGACTTTCTTTTCCCCCTAGAGATAAGAGTCATGCATTTTGGGAGTCTTTTAGATAGACCCACTGAAGGGGTACTCCAATTGCCTCACCCTGCATCCCTGTTCAGCATGGAAGAAGCCAGAGTGGTCTGTGTCCCGATTCCCTATTGGCAATTTGGGTAACCTCTTCAGAGGATGGTGTGATAAAAATAGGAGGTAGGAATTGACTAGGCACTTAGGGTAAAAAACCCCAAAGAAAAGTAGCCAGTTTCTTGGCTAAAAGTCAAAATGTCCTTGGGCCTCTTACCAACATGCTCTGTTCCAAACGCCAAAAATGCCAAAAGTATTTGGGAGCTTGTATCTAATCCTTAAAAGGTTTTAGGGTTACCTCTTCAGAGGGGGGAATGTTGGAATGGCCAAAAGCCCCATAAAAATAAATTATTAAAGAAGAAGAAAGTATATAAAGTTATCAGAAAAAAAGTGATGGGGAGACATGGGAGGAGTTGAACGGGAGGGAGTGGGCATGGATTTGATCAAAACACCTTATATGCATGTATGAAATTCTCAATAAATTTATTTATTTATTTTATTTTTGTTTTTTGGGGGCAGGGGGAGGAAAGGGTTTATTTTCTGTTACATCACCTGGATCACAGTTCGTTACTGAGGGAGCCCATAAATTATTTATTTTTTTAAAAAAAGAGTCCATATAGTCCAACACAGAGGAGGGGGGAAGGCATGGGAGGGCGAAGGGGTAGAGGGGAAGGCACCGGGGAGCCATGGAGGTAGCACCTCACATTGTGTCCACAGTCAGGAAGCAGAGAGAAATGAATGTATTCTGTGTCCTCCTGTTGATCTGGTT